AACCCCCAGAACCCTACGAGAGCATTACTTTTCTGTGACCCCTGAAGCAGGTGACCCTGAGGTGCCAGGCAGCTTGCCAATCGCCGGGCTCCCGAAAGAGGGACACAGAGACTCAAAATCCCCCCTTAAACTATTTGTTTATCTCTGATTCATGATAGCAGGGACCACTCTATAATTTCAGGGCATGTGCTTTAATGAAGGTTTTGGTGGTCTCTGGAGGCTTTAGGGGAGCTTCCTATCCATCGTTTCAGAAGGGTGTTGTAAACGTCTGGAGGTGCTTAGGCGGGATTAGGACCTAGGACTTTCGAGTTTTCAGGGCTTTGGGGCTTCAGGGTTTAGGCTTCAGACCCGGTTGTGGCTGCAGTGACGAGGAGTTTCGCGAGTGGGGTTATCGTGGTATGTACATATGTGTGGGCCGTTCTGAAAGGCACGGGTCAGACCGTACTCATACGAGCAGGAAACCTTATCATACGGACCCCTACAAAGATGGAGCCCTGTGTTTCGGAAAGCCATATACCTGCATGTATGGTCTGCTTATCATGTGCATGTATACATGCACATACACACGCATACATGCATACCTACGACGCTTGTGCATGTATACATACACACGCATACATACGTACGTACGATGCATGTGCATGCATACATACATACACACACACACATACATATGTACGTACGATGCATGTGCATGTATACATACACACATACATACATACGTACGTACGTACGTGCGTACATGCATACATGCATGCACGCGGTGTCCACCACGTGTTTGTGGGTGGCTACTAAAGATTATTTGCCGTCGTCGTCCTGTTCCTCGGGTTCAGAAGCGAAGCAGCTTCGGTGTCCAGAGTCCAGGAACGTGCCGAGACAATGGATTGTAGCGCAGAAGTGCGGACTGCTATGTATTATGCTAAGAAATCATTGGTAGCCAACTCACGGAATTACACTCAAGACTCAAGGGCCAAGCGTCTAACTAGATTCACTTATAAAGCGCCACAATATACTCCGGGTCTTACGTTTGATGATTCAGGTACATGTGACAAACCCTAGCCTCGAGACCTGAAGTTCAAAGCCCTGAAGCCCCACGAAAGCAGCTCAAGCCCATTACCCTAAACCACTAAGAGCATCAACACCGAACTGTTGTGCCGGTATGAGCCTTCGCTTTCGCACTGGCGAATTTTGATGCAGACAGACAGGCATTGTTGAGAGTTTAAGGTTTGGTCACCAGAAGCGAAACCTTTGTAAAGCGTTTGCCCAAACCCATACATGATCAGTGAAGCAAATAGACTCACACACACTTTACACCCCAACCTGTCCTGATTAAACCTTGAACCTCAGCAGAGCCGTACAACAGCAAAATGTACTATAAGTCCCAAATCAAGCTCATATCACGTCCCCCTTATGATCCCGCAAGTCCCGGTCTATGAATCAGTGAGGCCGGCAATCGCCAAAAGCATGAGGTGCCATGCCCACCTCCACTGGGTTCAGGGTCGGAAGTTGCGGGGCTCGTAGGTTTGAGGTTTAGGGTTTGGGGCGTAGGGAACTGAGCTGTCAGCTAGAGCTTCAGCCCGGATCCCAATCCTCACTGATCACACCAAAGCCCTCCAGCCCTGGTTGCTGAAACACACCATGCACTGCCAGGCAAAGCCTCCAGGAAGTCTGCCACAGCATCAAGGCGACCTATTGGCCTGTTCAGGTTTGTGGATATAGTTTTAAGATATATACTCAAGCCTCAGACTCGGCCTAGTTTCTCTGCAGGGTCCTGTTGTAAAGCCTTCGGGCCTTTGAAGAGACGGTCGGGGTCCCAGCCTAGAGACGATGACTTCCTGGTCTGTGATGTCCCAGCTTAGTCCATAATTTGCGATCGCCATGGTCCAAGGATTAGAACTCGAAAGCTGTTTGGCCCTTTGCCAGTGCATCCTGTGTGCAGGAATCGCATGCTGGCACCGTAAAGCGGCGCAGCTCCGTCTCGACCTCATGCGATGGTAAGACTGTTGGGTTTGAGGATTTCCCAACAGCGAGGGCCTTTGCCTTACGGTTCCCAAATATTGGAACAGGCCTTGAGCGGACAAGTATAAGCATAGAGACACTGTGCCGGAGCACTGTTTCTCAGTTGTTCAGACCTCTCCTCCGTGTGTCGCTGCACACTGTGCAAGTACCGCAACATGCATTTCCGACTTGCCTGCCCATCAGCTTCACACATTAATAATTGTTCATCCCTAAACCGTTACAGTTATCCTTACCCCAATACTATCTGCTGCTTTCGATGAGGTCCTCATTGATCGGCTGCGGTCCAGCGTCGCTCTGCGCGAGCTTGAGAAGGATCTGGATCAACTGCAGGCATGCCTCCGTGGTGGTGGTGTTATGATGGCTGCTTTAGCTTAATCGGGTCTCATGCGGTTTTATAAGGGTGCAGGGCGGTGTAGGGTTTCGAGAATTTGGGGTGTAGATTTGCAGAGCTTTGTGATTCGTTTGTGTGCGTGGTTTTTTTTGGCTACTGTCCCCTTGGCGGGTCTGTGTACTGTAAGAGTCGAGGACCACACTTGTGCCACGGTGTAAGCATGAAGATATTGCTCATACATACTGATGATACTTTCAGCATAAACTAGTTCGACAGAATTCCTCTCATGAATTTGCACTCCAACTGGATATAGCAAAAGCACCATTACTTATACTTCGTGCCGATGGTGTTGTGGTCAGACAGGACTTTCACCCTTCAAGGGTGAGTCTTGGACTCAGCGAATATGACTCCTAAACCCCCAAGCCCCTAAACACTAAATGCCTATAAACCCTGATGAATATTCCTATTCCACTTGTGCATGCCCCTAGATTAAACCCTTAGAACAAATCTTACAGCAACCCTCTGAGGGAACCCAAATCCAAGTACTAAGGCCCCTGTATTACAGAGCCTAAACCCCCAACCCTTCTTAAGGAAGCCTCTTCTAACTCTGAACGCCCCTAGTGGCGGCCGCCTCGCATCTTTCCAGAGGTGGGCCTTCGAGCTGCTCGGGAGTCGGTGACAAACGCACGGCGAGACTCATCTGCGCATTCAGGGATCCTTTGAGGCGATCCCTTTAGGGTTCCTTTCAGGGTTCCTTGAGTGCTACTACCAGGACTCCGCTAGGGGTGCTAGACGGGTTCATTTATCCCCGGCGGGGGGCCGGCTCTCTGTATTCAGGCAGTAGTCGCCCTATTTCCGAACTCTTATTCAGGGAGGGCGCGCCTGCTAGTCAGGGCCTGCGTTTCTGCAGAAGGGTACCTCCTCTCGAACAAAATCCCTGGCCTGTTTTCGAGCAACTCTGAAATGACAGCGAACAATATGTCTTTCTTGGCAACACGGAGCCTGAACGCTTTGCAGGCCGTATTCATCCTCGCCTGAAGCCGAATACATGAGTATCGGCCACACGCCCCAACGCCCTTTTCGGAAGCTTCCTTCTATGGCGTGTCGGTGTCGAACCTTCATGTTAATCTTGTGGTTGATGTGATGCTACGCTCATTGGGTTTATATAGTTTTATTGTTGCTGCAACTGCCTGTCATGTTTCGTGGTGCCAGTGCTACTGTTATTATCTCATTTTTGTTTGCAAGCACGAGCATTGCCTTCCTGAGGTCCGCGGACGAAGGACAAGGCCATGAAATCGAAAAGAAAGGCGCGATTTCCAAACTTGAAACAGTTTCGTGTAGGCTTCCTGCCGGCCCAGCAGAGTCCGATTTATGAAACCCAGGCGAAGCCTGAACAGCAATCTCCCAAACGGAAGGTTTTGTAGTTGAAGGTACAGGGAAATAGTGGCCCACGAACACGATGTCACAGAGCTTAATGCCAGACATACATGCACAGAGACAGAGAGATGTAATATATATATATATATATATGCATAGATAGATATATATATATATATATATTATATATAAATGTATTATGTATGTGTATATATATATATATTATATATATATATATATGTATTATGTATGTACATAAAAAACCTACAGGTGTTACGCACACGCATGCCCTAGCAGTACGAATCCTGACCCACAGATTGCTCACTCCTAAACCTTTAACCCTCACAACATATTTTGCACGCCCCAAACCCTAAACTCTCAATGCCTTGAACGTGCATTCAGTCTGTCTGTCTTCCAAGCTAGGGCTTCGGATACAAGTTGGACACGGTGTTTTAGGTTTATTTGTTGGGTAGGGGAAGGGTTTGTTGGGTTTCTGGGTGTCGGTGCCATTTCGACCACATCTTTGGGGTTTGCAGGCTTGGGGCTGCAGGCTCCCAGGTCCTAAACTCTAAAGCGTCCGCACTCAGCTGTACTGCTTTGAGGGTCTCAGTCTCTTCAAGCTACGCATCTGTAGGGTCTAGTGTGCGGGTCTCAGCAGTAGTGGGTTCTGGGGCTCCTTCTTTAGGGTTGTAGTCGGGTCTCTTAGTGCATGTAGTTCCATATAGACGGAAAGAACTGTTATAACAGTGACGGTTTCAGCCTTAATGCCAGCATTGTAAGGTTGCCCGTACTGCAATACCGTGATACCTTACACCACACGGGCTGTTTACAGAGTAACCACAAGTCAGTATGTTTGTCGGCATTCACTAAACACACTTTGATCACAAAAGGTCCTGTATCTTTTTGCCATATGCTACAACCACATGGCAGAAAGTTCGTACAGGATCTTGCTATGTCAACGTTCCGGGGGCATATTGTGAAGTTCCATTGCATTGGACGATAGCCTCTCTCTCTCTCTCTCTCTGTCTTTTATATGTATATGTGCACATACAAACACATCTCTGTACGCCGTATGTATATAACCAAGAACAAATGCAATATGTCTCAAAATGTATGTGTATATATATATATATTATATATATATATATATATATATATATATGTGTGTGTGTGTGTATGTTGGGGTTCGTATCGAAGGGTTAACGACCAAAGGTCACCAATGCTTACGGTCGAACCAGGAGAGGTATACACCAGAAAAGTGCTGCATCGAGAAATGGGAACCAAGCAGGCGGCTCCGACAGAGATCACACGCTCGATCGTAGCTTCGGCAGCGCCGGCAGATACCACGGGCTTGATCGTAGCTTGGTTGCAAGGGAGGGAGGATGCTGGGGCCTGGACAGTCTTTCCATCTCGGATCTGGAAAGCTGTAGATTGCTTGCATAATTTGGGCCTAAGCTCCAAATCGTAAACCCTAAGGTTGAGGGCCAGGACCCAAGACTTCGACTTGTTCAGGGGTCCAGAGCTCGGGATGTCACCAGGTTTCGGAAATGGACGGTTCTGGATGATGAGTCGTGGAGTTTAGTGCCCGGGGAAGTCGATAGATTCATATCCTTGTAAGTTTTGTTATCATGATTATTGCTGCTGTTATAGGTATCATGACTGTTATAGCATTTATCTTGCTTTCATTATTGCTACCGTCATCGTTTTTGGTCGTGTTGTTCTTGCGATTCTTACAACAGGTAAGAAGAATTATGACAAGGAAGACTCAAATTTGACTATAGGACGTCAGGATAAGAACAAGACCAAGAAGAACAATAATAAGCATCATAACAACATCAATAGTAGTAACAATAGTAGTAGCACTCGTAATATAGTAGTAGTATAGTAGCAGTAGTAGCAGCTGTAGTAGTAGTAGTAGTAGTAGTAGTAGTAGTAGTGGTGGTAGTAGTAGGAGTAGTAGTAGTAGTAGTAGTAGTAGTAGTAGTACTACTACTACTAGTACTAGTACTAGTACTAGTACTACTACTAGTACAGGTACTAGTACTAGGGCTAGTGCTAGTACTAGCACTAGTAGTACCAGTAGTACCAGTAGTAGTAGTAGTAGTAGTAGTAGTAGTAGTAGTAGTAGTACTACTACTACTACTACTACTACTAGCACTAGCACTAGCACTAGCACTAGCACTAGCACTAGCACTAGCACTAGTACTCGCACTCGTACTCGTACTAGTGCTAGTAGTAACAACAGTAAAGCAACAATGCTAGTCACAATGCGGGTCATGGTAATCACAACATGGTTGGGCGTACCATATTGTACTAGAGAGCTCGTGTCAACCGTTAGTCTTGCTGTCGTGTTTATTGTTTGTCTAATTAGTCACGTTTTTGACGGTTCTTTTTCTGGGTCTTTCGGGCGCAGTCTCTACCAAGTACCTTGGCATTGGACCGACATTATAAGCCAAAGGATTCTCGTGAATCAACATAAGCCTAAGCCGCGAAAACTTGAAACCCACGCAACAAGTCCTTGCACTGGTAGCTTCTCTCGTTTTGTGCATGTGGCAGGCCGAAGTCAGCAATCACGTCAGGTGTATAGGGCTTCCTTAGGAAGATTGCGGAATTTTAAGACTTCGGGTGCTTTAGTTTAGGACTCTTGGCGCGCTTAGGGTGGCGTCCGTGCAGGGTTTCTAGGGTTCAGAATTTAGGGCTGAGATGGGAGCTGAAAGCCAAGGAGGTGGAGGTTTCCCTCATGAGCGGCGATGCCCTCCAACCTTTGCTCCTGGTCATCCACTTCAGAGCCAGGTTGGTGGCATCCGTAGTCAGAAAGCAAAGCCGGCCTCGCAGAGTGTCGCAGTCATTGTTGCAACGTTCAATGGATGTGAGTATGCGTCCGAACAATCACCGGTCTGAAAGCTGATGTATGCATTAGTACGCTGTTTCGAGGCTCAACAAGTCGACACGTAGTCGTACTATCCCCTTTCCCTCTTTGATCAGTGTAAACATGCACGAGGACCATTTCGAAGAGTGCAGACCCTATTGTGATGAGGTCCGTGCCCTACACGTGTCCGATCAGCGACCTGGACAGATTTGACAGCTCTGCTCTGTGATGCAGCCGAGACCCTCGTTACCAGTGCTCAGCCTTGATTTCCATCAAGCCTTTAAGTCCCAAGCCATTGGGATGAACGATTCCGGTTGGCTTGTCCTCTAGATTGGAACTCAGAGCTTCAACGCTTCAGGGTTTACGAGTTTAGCGTTTCGGGGTCAAGCGTGCAAGGTTCAGCGTCTCGGGGCTCAGAGATGCTCAGAGTTTTGGTTCTGCCGCAGAGACTGGAGGATTAGCTTTCGTGGTATAGCTGTGAGCAGCTGCCGATTCTGTCCGTGCTTGGAACTTGGCTAGGAGGCAACGAGTATATGTCAACCGGGTACGTGTCGCATTGCTGCCTGGAACATGCAGCCCTTATAGGTGCTGAAGGCTTCCGGGCTGTTACGGGGGTTTCGGTCGGCGGCCAGTGATGAGACATCGACTGAATCAGGTGGATCTTTACGGTTTCAGGCTAGTAGTTTGCGAGCGAATCGCACGAGCAACGCAACTAGAGGAGCCTTCAGTCTAAAACTAAGATTGTACGTTTTTGTTCGTTTTGAATACAACGTATGGGAAAGCATGTCCAGAGTCCTGTTTTAACCAGTTAGGCACTGCTCAGCTGTCAATTCCTACACGGCCCGACAAAAAGCCGAATTCCCTTACAACTTCGTCGCGGTTTTAAGGTTGCCCATGGTTGTTTTACACACTCACGAGTTCGCCTACCGAGGTGAGCTAAAGCGACTGATCGCAAAGCGTGCGCAAATCACTCTCGAGGATATCAAGCTCGTGGGCCCAGGCAGTTGGTTGCCGGGCGGTAATGGTGATTACAGACTGTTCAGGGTTTGTCGAATTGGTGTAAAGTCTAGTGTCAGTGACAAACTAAACAGTCGCTTGCACGCTTGAAGGGGATGCATTGCACGTACGACCCGACAGCACTGGGAGTTCATCGGTGGCATCATCTAATCGTGAGTTCTGTCGCCAGACCCTGCCCGAAACCGTCTAGCTTAACAAACTATTTAAGGAAGCTGCAGATCCTTGAAGCCTCCTGGCTGACAAACCACCCGCCATTAGTGAGTTTGGGGTTCAGGCTTTGGGATTACGGCGTGTTGGAAGTTTACTCAAGAGGTGCGGTAAAGCTCGAGGACAATCAAGCCGTCGGGGACTGCTACTTGGCTTTGGAAATTCCCCGTTTAGGGTTTAGTGCTTCAGTTTTGGGGCTTCGTTGCCGTTGCGGGGTTGTGTCCGAGTTTGGAGCTGACAGTCCAGTGTGGTGGAAGCCATGAAATAGGCAGCTACTGGCACAGTCAATGGAGCTTAGCGGGTTAGCAGTGATACGATGATGCCTGAGGGAATGTCAGCAATGGAAAGCTACAGCTGGACCTTGTCGCTGGGCAGCAAGGAGCCGTTCTACCCCGAATACAACATTTCACAACCTCCTAAACCATAAAGCCTTGAAGCAGAATCCTGCAAACGAGAGTGGGTCGTACTTATTTCCGAAAACATGAAGAGGCCTTGCTTGTCTAAGCTGGTGTTGCGCCAGCTCCACGATTTTTCCTAGATGCTGTTGGCGCTAGGTCCGGAGCACCAAGTAGCTGGCAAAACATGAGAGCATGATACGTCCACATGCACTGCGTGATACTGCTTGGAGCGCACTCGCACACACAGACACACGTACACACAGATCAGACAGTCTGCATGTTGTCAGCAGAGCAATCCACGTCGCCAAAATGAATAGTGTAAGCCATCGACCATGTGGCCTGATACATGTAATGCGAACCATCAAATTTCGGGCACGCGTTCAACCACCACAGGTCCGGAAGCCTGCTGCCAAGACCACGCCTCATCAAGTCGCAAAGACTGTGCCGCACCAAGTGGAGTCTTCATGCATGTCTAACCCCTACACCAGAAACCAACCCTTCAACCCCAACCCTAAGCCATGCTTCAGGGAGCTCCCTGCGAGAGTTGCTCTACATGCTCCTGAACCCCGCTATGACTGCCCCTCCCCCGACCCCACCCCCAGCTGGCTCTCGGCTATTTGTCGCCTATCGGGAACCAGCGTCAAGCAACAATAGCAGCACCAGCAACAGCGACGACGACGACACCAACACCCACACCGACACCAACATCAGAAGCAGCAGCAGCAGCAGCAGCAGCAGCAGCAGTGCAGCCAGCGTAGAGGCAGCGGCAGCGGCAGCTGCAGGAGCAGCGACAACAAATCTGCTTGCTGTTGCCATTGAATCGGGTTCGCAGTGGAAGTCAGAAATCGGCTTAAACGAAATAAACAGTAACTTGATGATGTGCCATCGACAAAGGTGGTCATCAACTGCGCGAATGTCGGGACTGTTTATTCCGAAAGCTCCTTGGCAGAGAGCCTGTACTGGGGCGGAGAGGGAATACCATCGGAGTTCAACTGCTTGACTCTTGGTACTCTATATTGTACTTAGACAGACATTGGCTCGATGATTCTACTTGCACGCTCGGCATATATTATAGGCTCCTCTCAGATTATGCTGTCAGGGCTGAACATGAAGAAGATAGTTCTCGGGCCGTTTAGATGTGTGGCATGCATATTCTCAGGCGGCGAGCCGCCACCCTTGTTCTGCTTGTCTTGAAAAACACCTCGCATTCAGGACATTTGTGTTATCAGTAGTTCGGTGTCATTGTGTAGTCGTAGCCGTAGTCGTCGTAGTACTGTAGTTGTTTTGGTTGTCGTCGCAGCAGCAGCAGCAGCAGTA